ATTGAATTTATTAAACCTAAACTTTACTCTTCTTCTATATTAGGATATATATTATCGAATATATATATATATATATTTATATACTATGATAAAATCGAAAAATGTAAGGTTTTCTAAGATTCTGTTTAAAAGTATTTCTGTTAGTATAATTCGAACTTGACGGTCGAATGATTAACCCTGCGGTGAATGGCCTTGAAAATTTTCAGGAATGAATGCCCTGGATCTGACAGACAGACAAATTGTCTTCTAGCCACGGCACAGTAAAATTATTCAATTTGATTTTTACATAAATTTGTAATACCACCATAAGTAGAAAGGTATGTGTAATATTAAATGCCTATCTATGTAAATACATAACGAAAATATACTTCAAAAGTCGGTTGGGTCTGTGAGACCCAGGCCATTCATTGCAAGGTTAAGTTTTACTACTGTACAGTACATAACACTTCCGCCATCTACAGTCGATTCTTAAAAGTAAACTGTATCTTTTAACGTTACTTTTTGGTTTCTATAATCGACATACAATACTCTATTTTCTTTTTATTACGCTGGCATCTCGAAATATTTAAGAAATTTTACGCGTTAATAGAAAGACTACGCGGTTCTTTTTCGTTCCTACTCTTCCTCTTAATTTTTTTTACTATATTATTATACACTACTGGCCAAGTAAAATAAAACACCATGATAGACTATAAATATTGAAACAATGGAAGCTTCATTCGTGATGTTGCATTTTAACTTGGCCAGCAGCGTAATTTAAGACTTAAACCTAAAATAATTAGTTCCAAATTGACTGATATATTAATAATATAAACTTTTTAAACGTTTACCAAAGTTTTAGAAGCAAATTATCTTTATGCTATTTAATTAATTTTTGAGGCTCCTCGAGACGACGAGGCCCTAGGCGCGTGCCTAGTGCACCTATTAGGTAATCCGCCACTAAACTCCATCCACATCCTCTATAGAAAATCTAATAAATTGTGTGAATTGGCATTGAATAATTCAGTGGTCAATGTGACATTCTAAAATATTATAATGGAAGTTTGTGAATGTTTTTCGTGAATTTCATTAATTAAAATATATATATATATATATATATTTATTTATTTATTATTTATTTCTAATATAAAAACGATTCTTTTATATTTTATTTTTAACTTATATTTCTTGAATAATATATAAATATATCCATTTGATCGAATTTTATTAGTACAAATTCCATGATTTTAGACATTAAAAAAAATAATAATTTTAACATTCATTTATCAATGAACCTTTTCAAATATTAAAATTCTTTCGAATTCGATTCTCAATTTCAAGATAAAAACGATAAAATCAATTTTGAAAATGTATTTTTTTTTTGTTTTCAAATTTTATTAAAAGTTATTTTATCGATAGGAAATTAATTTTTCAATATATATTTTCAATTAATTGAGTGGCATTTCCAATTTTGTCCGTCACAAAACGTTACGGAAAAGAAGACAGATAAAAAAAAACACACACATTCCTTTTGTCATTATAGTGTATACTCTTACGTCGTTTTGACGTCAAATCTGTACTTTTGTTATAATAAGTAAACGTAAAAATGACGTCGAATTGACGTATTGGTGTACTGTACAGCATTACAGTATTTTACAGATTAACAACACACCAATTATCATCAGTGTGTTTTATCAGATGCGTTATACACGTTTAGCTTGATAATGAAGCAGTCTCTTAAATAAATTACACAGATTCAACAATTTAAATTCATAGATTCACAGTATTGCATTGATAATTTTTTTTTAATATTGTAAGAATTCTTACAATTACGCTCATATTTCTTATATATTGAGACTAAACAAGTAACCAAAGTAATAAAATGGCGAATACGCATACAAATCTAAATAGAGATACATTAAAAAAAATTATATATTTAGAAATATAAGTGTTATATAATAATAAAATTTTGACCTATTTAGGGGAGACCGGGGCAACTTCGGCATGCCGGGCAAGTTTGTNTATTGATATCAAAAATTTGTTGTTAGAAATTCAAATTATCCGAGAGATAATGAAAAAATAACCAAGATTTATTTTGTTATCTTAACTTCATTTTTGTTAAAATTATTATTATTCTTTTTACATCGTCGACGATCGATTAAATCGTTCGATAATTCGGATATATTCCGGTTATTTTATGCTATAAAATGAAGCAAAATAAACGAATTCGAATGAATATTTTACATAGAAATATCACGAATCTTTACATCTCTTTCTCACTTTATGTTTCATTTTATATAATTCGATATGTATACATTTTTAGTCTCTTTTTTTTGAATAAATATATAAAATTATATAAAAGCTGTAAATAGATTCTCTTGCAAACTACATTGTCTGCTTATGTTGTATCGACACAAACAAAATTAAATTTTCTCGTCGTAGTGAAAACTCTTCTTGTTATATTTTTCTTTCATAAAATAAAAATAACATAAAAGCTTCTGTTAAAAAAATAAAGATAAGTCTGTCTTTTTTTAATAATTACATTTATAAAATTCGATAAGAACTTTTATTAACAATGTTAAAACCAGTAATCAATATATAATTACGTTACAAATAGACTTATTATTATTATTATTATTAAGAGAGTTTTTATCTTGCAAATTTCTTTTTTTAATTGTTTACGTGAGTGTTTTTCTTTTTAAATGAAGAATAAGGAAAGTTTAAAATGTATTTTCCATTTATTAGATGTGAAAATAATTCTTAATTAATTTAAATTTAGAAAAAAAAAATAACTTAGCATTAGTTGTCAAGTAAGAGTAATTGTATAGTAGATTATACATTTATAAGGCTAATATGTATATATTTTTTAAAATTATAGTGCATATATAAGTATGAAAATATAATTATAAAGCTTGCAAATTTATATATATATTTATATTTTTGTCCATTTTATAGAAGATTTAATGATTTTATTTTAAAATTGTTGCATTCTCCCTTCGTTTGTATGAATATGAATTGTATTTTGTTTTTGTTTAATAATTTTTATAAATCATTAAATATGCGAATTTTTTTTACTAAATAAATTATTTAAATATTTATAAATCCTATATATATAAGGAATTTCAATAAACTCGGAGCCATTCTGTACGGTACAGAATATTAATTTTATACCTTAATTTGTTAGTAAGTTGAAGCTAAATGTATAAATTCGTCGTTTTTTCTTCTGTCATTTTTGTAAATATCTTGAGCAATAAATTCAATTTGTAGTTATTTAATTATGTATTGAAATAATAGTAAAAATATTCCCAAATGTTTAAAGTTATAAATAAATAATTTATGTTAAATTTAAGCTATCGATTCAGCTGAAATTCGGCTTTTAATTTTCTAAATATTAGATCGAGAGTTAATCAATTTATAATCCAAAAATACATTTAATTTTCTTTTATTAATCTCCGTATATAAACTAAAAAAAAACAATCTAAAAAATTACCTAATAATATAAAGAAACCGAATAGACACCTGAAACAATATCTACCATTGTAAATTCGCGACATCGTCACTATGTCGGGCCGTAATATTTAATATTTTAATTTAAAAAAAAGACTTTTAATCAAGCCTATTAGTTAATTTGACTTATCAGCCCATACACTTTCTATATCCTGTTTAGATTTTCATCTAACTAACTCAGTTTTCGAGATTAACGAAAGACAGACAGATAAACAGACGAACCGTCAGTGGGAATTTCTACGCTAGAAACATATTTCTTTAATTAAAATATAATAATTTTCTGTTATAAATCGTAGTATATATTTATTCTGCTGAATCTATATTACGTTACAAGAGGTAATTAATAAAAATTAATCGTCTTATTATAGAATTATTACCTTTTCTGGAACACTTAATTCTATTTTAAGAGATATTCTTAAAGGAAATATTCCTGAAGGAGGTGAATTAATTAAAAGAATCTCAGTTAAATTTCGAGCATGGGGAATAGAAGAATATGTTAAGTGAAAAGTTATATTAATTTAGAGAATTATTTATAGGGTCTATCTATATATCTACACTCTTATTGCGAGGGGAAAAAAAAGATATTATATCAATTATACCAATAAAATTTAAATAAGTGAATTTCTAATTAATTTATCTAAATTTAATTAATTCATTAGAAGAAATTTCAAATAACACTTTATTTTCTTGATTGTTGTATTATTAAATTAACTAAATTTATCGAAATTAGTGTCCTTCCGACGTGGAATGTCATTGGGAAAATGTTCCGCAATAAATGGATTAAATTAAAACACCAAATAAAAATTAATTCAATCAAAATTATAAATCGTGAGATTATTATTTAAAATAAGACACTTTTATCTTAATTTACCAAGCTTTTATTAAGTAAGAAATTTCTTAAAATATAACTAGAAAATACATCTTTAATGCGATCGCCCCGAGGTTATTATAACTGACAATCCTATTAAATTTATACAAATTCTAAATAATATGCTTAATATTACAAACAGCTTACAAGTTTATATATTTATTATTATTATTTATTTATATATATATATATANTCATCATTTTTTTTTGTTGAACGAAAATATTCTCTCGCATAAGTCAATAATATGTAAATGTAGGTTGTTTGTTGCAAGATAATTTATTTTGTCTCTTCCGATGACATAATAGAAGTGCAAATATTGAAATTAATTATTTAGATTGACTGGATAGATTACATTTTAGATGCTCGATTGCACGCAAGATGTTCCAAAAATTGCGAAACGACAGATGTTCGTCTTTCGAATTTTACAACTCCAAAATGAGTTCAAAATTTATAGTATGTCACGACTAACTTAGTTATATTTAGTAACATTCTCAATTAAAATGTTTAAAATAATCTAATTTAAATTAAAGGAAGCCAATTTAATAAACTCCATTTATATCACGAAGACGATTATGATATCGATATCCGTAAGTTTATTTTAAAATAAGTCTTTAAGTATATATTTTTTAAATTAAATGTTGATTTCTAGTCACCTGAAACCTTTAGTCTTCCCCAGTTTGAACTGAGAATTTTCTCTCCTGTAAGAGTGTTTTCGACTTGACAACGATATCTACGTTCACCGTCTTTTCTTTCAACGTTAAACACATGGAGTGTTCCACTTCTAAACGCTTCGTACTTCTTTCTGATGTAACCTGTGATGATTAAAACATACAGCACTTTTTCTTTTATCTAATGATATCATCAGTCTTGTTTATTCTAGACGTTATCAATAACGAACTTCCTATCGGAAGAGAATGTGTGCAGTTGTTAATGAGTTGACCTATGAGGTCGTTCAGATGAAGTCTCAATTTACAGAATATCTATAATTTATTTTCTAATAGAAAAGACTTTTCCAATTATTATACATTTTCGATATTCCGTAAATATAAAACTTTTTAAATTTCAGACAACGTTACGTTATATCATCTGTTAGTAAGAAAGTTTTACTGAATATTTTTATTTTTATTAAACTTACATTTTAATAAAAGCCTTAATATTAATAATTATATAAAAATTCTTCCTATAACGACATTAATCAATAACGAAATCTTTGAGACAAAGTTAATTTAAAAATTAGTAGAAAGAAAAATAAAGTCAGTAACTCACCGCGCTCCTTTTGAGTCAATAGAGTCAATCCATCATCAGTAAGCCAACCAACATGTTCTAGGATGTGGCTGCCCAAAGCAGGAATGTGACACTTGAGGACACCAGTGTTACCTAATGGAACGTGGTTGTCGTATACGACAATGTCGTAAGTCTGTGGCGTAACTAGGAAAAATAGAAGAATAAAAGGAGAACTTCGATCAGTTATATATATATTTTTTCCCTTTTTCTTATCGTTTCGTACCTTGAACTTATCGCATTTCGACAGGGGTATTCTTCCGAGCCCTACTCGAAATGATTCATGATTTTGACTTTGTGCAAATAACGTCTGTGTGACATTCGGTAATATTTGTTATTCCTTATCTATTTTACTGACTGTTGGCACTTCTCGTAAATATTAGAGCTCCTTCAATACCATTCTCCCTAAAGACATGCTGCGGATTATAAAAACCTTGATAGCGAATACTATGTAAGACGATTTCAGAGAAGTGCTTTTCAAAATATTTTTTACTCGAGAAAGCAAAGCTTACACAACTAGCAACTATAAAATACCAGAAGATAAACTGTGCTACTAGTTAAGTGGTTTCTTCTGAGCTTTCTTTAATAATGCTATAATAAATAATACTGTAATAATGGGAGATATACTTAAAACTTCCACATCTTAATAACATATCTTATCTTTATGAATTTTCTTTAGGATTTGAAACTTTCTAATGACTATTTAAATACATAATTTATAAAAAATTTTAATATCTGTATCACATATTTTTTTTATTTCTAGTTAAATTTCTAAAAATGTAACTATACTTGTTTATAAAGATAATCACCGTGTCGAGAATTTTTTATTGATGTTATATTTTGTAGCGTATTATTTATAACATGCTCTATGAAAGTTATTTACTTGGAAATTTTAATCCTAAATATTTTTCACGAAAGATTTACTTTCCACTTTTCTTATAAATCCACGAGAAGAAGAGAGAGAAAAGGGGAGGAATGAATTATTATCATTATTACTATTACATGCATTATTGTATAACTAGCAAAAATATAGAGAAACAGAAATATGAACTAAAGAAAACTATAGAAATATATTCTTTAAAGAATAAATCTAACAGAAGTAAAATAAAGAAAATGTCAGTCGTCATAAAACAAATTGATTGTATATATTAATATACACAGTATATATGTGTTTTTCTTATCACATTGTTTGCTCATTTGTAAAAAGTAATACGTCTAAAGTAAGTTTGTTTACTGAAAACTATTCTTTAAATATAAAAGAATCGACGAAGAAATTTCAGATTCGAGTTGAAAATATTGTAAATATTTCAAATAAAAAAACAAAAATAAAAGCTTTTCGAATAAAATTTTATTAATATAATTCAATATTTTAAAGGTTAATTTTGATTCACATGAATAGAATATTTTAAATTTTGTTATACAATTCAGTTATTAATTAAAGACGCGTTGCTTTAAACTCTTAAAATAATGCAATACATTTAATATTTAATTATTAACAAGCAGAAAGCGTACTAATCATTTAAAATCTTAAATTTATTTTAAGTTTTCAACACCCGTGATTATAAACAGGTGTAAGGAACCGCTACGAAATCCATCACGTGTGTTACATATTCATTGAATTGGCTGGACAATTGTGAGTATATCCCCTTAAAATGAATTTTCTGCGAATATTCTGAAAGCATAGTACTGTCAATAGAAGATTAACGGTCTACTTTCGTCGTAACGTTATTGAATTCCGATATGAAATGAATTCAGATGATGAATTTAATAAGACACTTGTCGATCTATCTTATCAAACATCAGGGTATCCCGTATACATTGAAAAATAAAAAACAGTTTTAATAGGATCAAGGACAAAAACTCTTCTGATGATACTCTCTCTCGCTCATACTGTGTTTCTTAAACTAAAATAAATATTGTGACTCGATAGACGTTTCTAGTAAGTAAAGAAAAAACCAGCCAAGGTAATTAAATTCCTCATGCGTGAAATTCGGAATTGGACAAATGGGAGCTTGTCTGGAATTTTTATCATTACAAAGCTTATTCCAGTGGAAGACAAATATATATATATATAGGCATTATTCTTTTTTTTCAAATATATTTTCTCCATCAACACGAACAGACTTTTCCATGCTTAAACTAATATTGACTTCTTAACGAAAGATTTAACATATATCATTTTTTTTTCTATGATTTTTTTTAATATTTATCGAAGAATTAATTCTTTTCTGCTTATACTAGCTATTACGAAAGACTCTTTTATTGTACGGAACAAATTCCTTTCTTTACTCATATTCACTCGTTTTAATAATAAAAGTGTTTTTTAAATGTGTTCCATCTTACGTTAAATCAATTTGTCACTAAACTATTTATAGACCTCGAGAATAATTTTATATAAATATTGAATTTAATAAAATCACTTGACAATCATTTAAAAATCGTAGTATTGTTGTGTTCTGGTAATAAAGAATTTTCTCTAAAGCTCCATTTCATTTGATAAATGTATAAAATTCCTATTTATAAATATTTAAGATTTAATCAGAAATATTCTATCTTATATATATATATATTTTTTTCTATTGCTGGTTTAACGAATGGGAATGTTATTCCTTCGTTACGATTTGTTACGCGTATTTATCGACTCCGTAACGGGTTCAGGCCGAATTTTTTCATTCACGTAAAAATATTAGAAAAAATATTTTATAATTTACGTATTTTTTGCAAGGAAATTGACCAAAAAATAAACGAAAAATATTCGATGTTTCCGTAACGTAAGACGGAAACAAATAAGAACAAATTCTATGTGACGTGATTAGTGAGATCAGTGGTGACAATTTACTAAAGAATGATGCGATTTCTTTTCCATTTTCTATAAAATAGACACATACAGAAANGATATATATTATCGAATATATATATATATATATTTTTTTCTATTGCTGGTTTAACGAATGGGAATGTTATTCCTTCGTTACGTTTTGTTACGCGTATTTATCGACTCCGTAACGGGTTTAGGCCGAATTTTTTCATTCACGTAAAAATATTAGAAAAAATATTTTATAATTTACGTATTTTTTGCAAGGAAATTGACCAAAAAATAAACGAAAAATATTCGATGTTTCCGTAACGTAAGACGGAAACAAATAAGAACAAATTCTATGTGACGTGATTAGTGAGATCAGTGGTGACAATTTACTAAAGAATGATGCGATTTCTTTTCCATTTTCTATAAAATAGACACATACAGAAATATCTTTCGCTTTCTATTTCCTGTAACAACTTTTCTTTAAGTGGAAACTCGCACTTATTTTTTCCTAATTTGTTCACGAGTATAAATTTTGCTAAAGTTATAGGCCCTATCTACAAGAAATTTAAAGGTCTCGATAGACACGAAACAACTCGAAATTCATTCCTTTTAGATTTATATATATCCAAAAAAGAATAATGAAATCAAATATATTATAAATCCAAGCAATTCTCTAAGTAAATTAATTATATTAATTAATTAATTAATAGGCCTACGAAATATAGGTATTTTTGTACTGTATACGAATTTTTAATAATAGACTAATAAATATTCTAATTCTAACTACTGTTGTTAAACGTATATATTTTATGTTTATTGAAACAATAATAATAGTCGATCTAAATAAGATAAATTAGATCAGACAATAGATTAATCAATAATTAATCAGCATCCGATCCAGGTCGAGCCTGAATCCTAGATTATGACCGGATCGATTTACTTTCGTGAGGAATAGATCCTTGTAGATACCTCGTGATCAATTTTGGCGAATTAACGGGTTCCATGCTTACAACCGGATAAACACCTCCCATTTATCCTGTGTTATAAACAGAAAAGAGTAAACTCCTCCCACCCCTCCCGCGAAGATGGATTTATATTTGTTTTATAGTAAATGTGGTTGTATATTATTAATTTAATATGACTTATTAAATTATTTTTATAATAAATTTATTCATTTCTATCAATTATTTTATCTTGTAAGTTTTAAAGACTCGCGAGGATAACGTTATCTCTGAAGAACATTACGTTTCCTCCTAAATATCCTTTAGTTTCTTGAAAGATAAATTAATTCATTATAAAGAGTATTCATCAAAGACTAAAAACGTCACTCATATCGACCGTTAAAGACGTAACAATCGCTAAATTTTTGAGTTTAAAAGAATAAAATCGCGAGGAAAGTTGGAGGAAGAGCGAACCGATTTCATTTTCTATCCTAAAGTATGATATTAAAAGTAAATATTTCGCAAATTGCAAATTGAATAATTAAATTTGGCGTAGAAAGATTAAATTTACATGAAATTACTTCTTTTATCTTTCAAATCGACTTAAATTATAGGCGCATACTAAAAACAAAATTCCGATTTACTTAATGCACCTATTTACATTTTTTTAGAGAGGCCTATTCATTATATTTGATTCCATTAAGATAAAATAATAATAATAATAATAATAATAATAATAACCAAAACATTTCTTATTGATATCAAAAATTTGTTGTTAGAAATTCAAATTATCCGAGAGATAATGAAAAAATAACCAAGATTTATTTTGTTATCTTAACTTCATTTTTGTTAAAATTATTATTATTCTTTTTACATCGTCGACGATCGATTAAATCGTTCGATAATTCGGATATATTCCGGTTATTTTATGCTATAAAATGAAGCAAAATAAACGAATTCGAATGAATATTTTACATAGAAATATCACGAATCTTTACATCTCTTTCTCACTTTATGTTTCATTTTATATAATTCGATATGTATACATTTTTAGTCTCTTTTTTTTGAATAAATATANATATATAGGCATATATATTATTTTTATGCACGTATTGTGCGCGTTACAGTAAGAAATTATCGTTAGTTAATCGCCAAAGATCCTATTTTGATTCGTATTTAACAGCTGATACGATGGTTTGGAGGTATAAAAAAATTGTTTTAGGATCATTTTAAAAGCTTTTATAAAACTCGGCCATTTTTTTCGCTAGTTTTATCTCGCTATCCAACGCATGAAATAATGCTTGTTTGGTGGAAGTTTAAACTCTCTTGCGTCTTAGAGTGTTAGTTGTAGCCAATATCATAGTTCACATCATAGAAAAATGGTTTCTTTCTTTCACCTTCGATAAATGTCAGATTTAAAAAAGTGCTATTGGCAACATTTAGTGATAGTATGTAGTTACTTTGCAACCAAGCGGAAAAAACGTTTCAAGTTATGATATATGAGCAAAGTCCGAGATAAATCTGAAGTTGTTTGACTCTTTCATGAAATATGTACTTCAAGTATATATTTTGCAATTCCAATACATTTTAACGTTTTAATTTTATTAAGTAGTGACAAAAATAAGAATGGAATTTTGATTAAAATTTTAAAAATTGAATAAAAAATTTAATTATTTTAACATTTTTAAATTATATATTTTTTCTATTTAAAAAACAAAAACATGCATTTGATGTTTATAAAATTAAATTACAACTTTCCATTATACAGTGGAAGCATTCTATAGAATAATATAAGCATTTGATTTCTTATTTATAAACAACTTAAAAGAACTAATAATGCTATTTATTAAATCAATGTATTGAATGCATGCTTCTATTTCTCTAGAAATATATTGCCTTTTATATTACAAAACTTTTAAAATACATATGAAGTTAGAATAAAGGAAAACACAAAAAAGGAAATAATTTAAAAAATATATTCTGTACAAATAAAATAAACTCATTCCTTTTACACTACAAAAATGATTTAATACAGAAATTTTGAGTGCTAAATTTTATATAAAATCGTTAAATAATAGATAATTATTATTATTAGTTCTGTCGATAAAATAGGATAATATATGGTTAATATTACTAAAATGACACTTACCTGCTTTGACTTCGACATCTCGACTTCCAATAGTTCCTACTATATTACTAGAGACACATCTGTAAGTACCAGAGTGAATATCGGATCTATAATGGTCATCGGGGAAAGGAGGAAAATTGAGAGAACCGTCGGGACGGACATGTAATAAACCAGGTATATTTTCAACAGTTGATCCACTTTTTTTCTTCCAGATCACAAGAGGTTTAGGATTACCATTTACACTACAGGCTATAGTAATACCTTGAGTACTTAAAAACACAACGCGGGAAGGAGGTTCGGTAATAAAATAAGGTCCAGTGTAGTCTTTGTTACTTGTAAATCCTCCTGAAATGAAGCATTAAATGAGCAAACACGCCAACGATTAAATCTTTTAGTGAAACCGCAATTTAATTTCAAGTAATTTACATGTGACTCGTTATTTTAATTAATTTTTTTTATTCAAGAAAACGTGTTTTATAAAAGTAAATATATCGATTATTTATATTTTAATTGATCGATAAAGCGTACGAAAAAAATAAACTCACCTAGTACGTGATGATAGGTGTTTATATATGAAAGTATTATCCATAGATTTTTTGCAGTTGCAGTTAGAGCGGTATAAGAAGCAGCCATAGCAAGCACAAACGCCCTCCGCTCTCCACTGTGACCGAATGTCAGTCTACCACGTTGGATAGGCACCGTCTACAGTCAGCTTGTACAGCCAGCGCCACGGCCAGACTGGAGCAGAGTCAGAAGGTATCGTATGTGATTTTGCTAACAGGCTCGTTTTATTTCTTAACAGCGTGTCTAGGGGGAATTTTAACTCCATCAATTGCACACATTTTCTATCTGAAAGTTTGCTAGTTGAAAGTGTTTTGGTATTTTGCTCCCCATTAGTGATTTCGATAAGCTGTACTCTCTCATTTACGGCTATCGTCTCTCGTTAAGAATAATCACACAGAGTAGAAGCGAAGTAAAATAACCTGCAACGTGATATTTTGTTGCGTGTACGGACAAATAAAACGGATCCTTTGCCAAATTTTTAAAGGTGGGAGCGATAAATAATTGGCGCAGATTTTTTGAATGATTAGGAACCGTGTAATGTAAAACTGGAAAGTTAACCTAACCAAAGCCACAGTAATAGAAAGCCACAAGCAAGTTCTCTATTTCGCGATCAATACTGTTTTTCTTTAATGGCAAAACGATTACTTCAACATCGCTCACAAGCCGCGTCACTGAACGCCTTATCAGGCTAGAGGCACGCTCGCTGGGTCTACTGTAATGTTACTTGCCTTCCACAAGGCATAACGTTGTTTGGCAACGTTTCAGCTCTAGGATAGTTGGATAGGGCGAGATACACAGTGAACAAACATGGCCACCATTATAATGGCGTTTAACGTGGTCTACAAGATGAAAGATTATCTTCTTTGTCCACTTGGTCCAACAAGAATTTTTCCCATTACTTCTATCATTTCGATTTTCTTTGCAATTTTTCAGTAAAAAAGTCCACCGCATCCCATTTAGTTTACATAAATAAGGAAAAGCCTTTACTATATATAGGCTATATAAATTTACTTTTTTTCTCCTCCTGTTTATTTTTATTGCAAAATCTCATCTTTTAATGGGATAAATACATTGAACAAATACATTACGTTTAAAAAGTAAACTATTCGTTATATCTATATTATTTTTCCACTTTTAAATTTTTATAAAACAATAAATCGGCAATAATATAAAAATTTAGAAAAAATAACAAAAATTTATATCAAAAGATTCCAAATATGCATCGTTCGGTTCCTCGCACTTCAATATAACATTTACTGGCACTACCTAAACAAGCAATAAAACAATTGCAACTACGTTACTTTCCACTTTTTAGTCATCCATACGCCGATAAGGGAGCAATAAAATTCTTGCAGAGCTATATACTACCTGTATTTTGGATCAATTCAATTTTTCAGTTCAACCATCACTACGGTGGATAAGCAGACAGATCTCGTATTATAAAATATTTTCAAACCATTCCACATCCGAAGGAGATCGGTAACAGAAGAAAGAAGAAGAAAAAAATCTATAACAAAGTAAAAGAGAAAAAAAAATAATAATACGTATAGTAATATAATATCTTGTATATCTCGTAGAAATTGCGAAAATGAAACCAGTACAGGAAAGAAATGAAAAATACAAGTCTGTAATCAGAATCTAGCCATCGAGAAATCAATAAATTGCCAATAGATGAGACAGAAGGAAAGAAAAGGAAGAAAACGGGGTTTCATTGTATGACATTTCTGTCTTGACCAATCGTCGATAGACCTAATCGTTGACTGTATGGAACTCAGAATGTCTGAGTCTTAACTCTCATTTCCGGAATTCAATCATTGCGGTTTTTGTTCTCAATGTCAATAATCCGTGCATTGTACTTCGAGAATCTTGAAACGTCTTTAGTATAAGTTCTAGTAAATTATACCTACACGAAAAGTCTTTCTACATTTAATAATGTTATATTTATAAACTCCACGATATTAATAAAACCGATAGGGTATTTTTTGTGTAGATGATAAATTTTCTTGTGGTAAAAAATATAAATTTTGTACATATTTTCTTTTCTTCATGAGAAATTTAATAATCCAACACCAAGCGATTTATTATCACCGTAAACATATTCGTTGAAAAGATAAAAATTGTTATCTTCAAATAACCTGTACATTTCTTTCATTTATTTTAACTAAAGAAACGTCATTCATTTAGCAAAAAAGAATTAGTTACTGCTATTTTTTTCAAAAAATTTTTCTTTTTTATTTCATATGATTACAATACTAACAAAAGAAAGAATTTGTAGAGATCGTGTCTGCTTTCAATATCCTTTGTTGTAATGTAGCACCGCATTTACATAGAAATAATAAACTATAGCAGAATTCTTTTATTAAATACCAAGTAGAAACAGGTTATATATTTAATCTTTTTGATTATTTTTTTTCTAATAAAATTATTTAAAATTTTGTATAAATTTAATTCGTTTTTATACATGCGAATCACAGTTAAGTTTCAAGATAAATTGGAAAAATAAATTATTCATTCTAAATACAAAAAAGGTCACTTAAATAAGAATATTAATATTATTTTGGTGAATATATCGAGTAAACATTGAGACTAAAAAAAGAGGACAAACACATTTAAAATATAAACAGACAAACAATATTTATTCACTTGGTGGACTGAACACAAAATGGCCACATTATTATGCACTTCATCTGAAATCAGATTTTAAATAGGTCAACATATTAAAATCTCTACAACCTGGACTAATTCTAAAGTTCTATTTTAGACTTAACTGATAAGAATCTATTATTCATTGAAATAATTTATACGTATGAATATTAACTTTTTTTTTTCTATTCCCCTCCTTCATTTTTTTTTGATTGACTGATGAGTTCATGTCTGGCATCGTTTCAGAATTAAAACTGCCAGTTGCCAAATATAGATTATATTATCTGATTTCAGATGAATTGTAGTTTCACAACGTACTTAAATAATTGAAAAACATTATCTTTGACAACATAACTCGGTTTACAACCTTCATTTTTGTTTATTTTTTATTTATGATTTTTTCCTCCATAACGTCATAACAAGAATTATATTTTATTCATTTAATGTACGTAGTTTACGTTTTTACACCACTTTTTTCCTGTGGAAAGGAACGAATCGTCGTAAGATTCTCCTGGAAGTTCTTTGTCGCTGTTGTATTTAAATTATACAGCAATTTTTGGGCAGTTTAATATACGTGTGCCATTTGACGAATCAGTTGGTCCCCTCGTGAATGAAAATCTGTACGAAAAGACATGAAAAAGAAAAAAAAAATACAAAGAAACCTTCAACTTTCTGTTAATTTCGTCAAGTAAATATACATAAAACTTTATTGATCAAAATGTACATTTTCATAAGGGATAAGTAATAAAAGCAGATAGAGAATTTAATAGTTTCAGAGCAATAAAACTAATCCTACTTAATGAATTAGCGAATTACAATATTTCGAATTTATGACAAAATACATCTAAACTTCAAAATAATACGTTTTGCATGTCATTAAGTGACCGTAACAAGATAAGTTACATCGTTATTATTATCGAATAACGATTTAAATCTGGAAGTAAGCCTATTTTACAAGAAAAATTAATTATATTTTTTCAGTACTGCACAGTAATCAATAGCAGTACAAATCTTTTGGTGTAATTTAATTAGATCATTTACTGAAAAAATTCGTATAAAATCTATCAGAAAATAGAAAAAGTTATTTAATACAATGATATTATATATATATATATATCTAAAGTCTTTTTTTATAAGAAAGAGAAAGGTATTCTTATAGATTAAGTTATATAAAAAAAAAGTATTTTAATCACCTGTTCTTGTCCAAACCTCTTGATGTCTATCGCATTCAGTTTCCGACAACTCCTCAACACTATCTGTTGGTGGAGATGCTAGCACCCCTAGGTCTTCTATATCGCTTTCTACGGCAGAATAACTAAAAGAAAGATAAGGTTTGCTAAGCTTTACGTCTTTCAATGATTTATTGCCCACGATACTGGAAACAAGAAGAAACGCCGAATATCCTGGATTCTATGTTGATCACGTCTACAAATTGGTATACTCAGTGAAATGATATATTGGTGGTCTAAAGAATATCTTTACCAACCAAAAACATGGGATTAACTTCCAACATTAATATATTAGGACGTGTTTATTGCGACACATATGAAAGTTGATATAAATCAAAAAGATTGCTTATACCATTATAAAATTTTGATCGATATTCAATAAATTATGCAATACAAAGTCTTATTTCTATTATAATAAATGTTTATTACTAATTACTCTTCTAAAGCCAATTAAGATACATTCGGGATTAAGTAACTCTTCATCATCTCCTCCATCATTTACAACTGATAATTATCTTATTAAACAAATTAAAATTTTTATTAAGAAAGAAATAATGTAAAAAGAGTAAAAATAAATAAACTGGAAAGGAAAAAAAAATACAGTAACTTCGGTTCACTGATCGATTTTTGTCTTATACTGACATGGTATATGATCGTACATTCCGTTTCTGGAATATATCACTGTTGATCAAACGTATCACTAGGATACGAAGTTTATAAAAACGGCACAGAAAAAATACTTTCGTTCAAGTTCAATAACATGTATTGATAGATGGATTTCTGGAGGAATATCTCAAGAATCCTCTGAAGCTACGATACAGGTTTCCAGATTTCTGTATGTATACTTTATATATATATACAGTACTACTCTATATATATATATAAATCCATAACTTTATAAGAATTATGTTTTAAAAACAACTTTGTATTGGTATATATTCCAATTTTTATTTACAATTTTATCTTAAAACGAATATATTTTTTCCAATTTCGTCTAAAAAATTGTGTAAAATATATATATACAGTACTTCAATACGTAGAATTGTACAGAATATTATAATTTTACCACATGTTCTATCCGGTTATTGTGGAAATGCTTAAATAAATTATATAAACTGCACAAACTAGTATGGCTATCACGCAAAGAAACGTGTTTTAACAACATTATATAAAGCATTTTTTATCATCGGAAACGATATTTTTGACATTGCAGACAACAAATTTGATAGAAAAATTAAACAACAACACAACATTTTATCACTTAAATGGAGAAACTGAATTTAAGTGATTGATGATTGTTAGAATTTTCACAGTTTAAATGCATTTTACAAAGGCAATTAATTCTTTCTTTGTCGTACTAAAGACGTAAATTTACAATAATTGAAGGCAACAACAAATTACATTAAAATTTTTTAAATCACGTAGAATGTCATTTAAGTTTTGCTAAATAACATTCTTACCTAAGCAAATAATTGAAATTGTCAATAAAATTTCTTTCTTCTGGCCAATTGCATTATACTAAGCAAGCTCTGAAGAGAAACATGAAAATGACATCTAATTATTTAAATTCAAAAAACTAATTGAATATTATTAATGCAGCTTTTCAATTAAGTTTTTAATTAGTAGTTTGAAGTTATATTTTCTTCAAAATTTTTACATTTATATTTATGTATTCGAAAATAAAGAAAAAATATATATTATTAAAATAAAGTCGTCATAATTAGCAAAACTCATTTACACTGTTACAAAAATAGATTTCTTTACTATTTGTAGCCAATCTGTAATTAAAATTAAATTATTTGCTAGGCTAAAACACTTGAAGAGCTGTAAAATTTATTAAAATTCTCATTTGACGAGTAGATTTTTGTGAAAGTACATATATCACACATTACGTCAAAGTCATTAGATGAGGAACCCATAATAAGTCGGCAGCTAAATAATCGTAAATGTTGCTATTGTCTGTAACCCTGAGGCTAACTTAATCAACAGTGGCTTCCTTATCATCTTCACTATTCGCCAGCGAACCGTGCGCAAAATAAACGAACTAGGATTACTTGGAAAAGTATAACATTGATTTAACCTTGTAAACTTCCAAATGATGCAATCACAGTCCAATCTCGCCCGAATTAGCCATGTAATAAATCAAGTAAAATGATCCATATCGTTAAACAATTAATGAACTAGGGAAATATCTTCAGAAATGCTTTTTTTTTCTTATTGCGAGTTATACGCGAAAAATGACAAGAAGCAATATTTTGATTCTATTTTCAACTCTTTATAAACAACATGCATGAAGGGTTTCATTTCTCTTTGAAGTTGTTACCATCTTTTATCGTTAAAACGTGTTCAGATGACTGGGTTTCAAGCAGGAACTAGAGTGGAGATAATGAAAACTCGCCACTTCTCAACGCCTACCTGGAGCGAAAACACAGCTACCAGGCACGTTTAGTTGAATAACGTCGGGAAATTATTGTTATATTGAAGACGGTGAGGTATACGTGTCGGTATGAAACTGTTAGTTCATTATGCTTCGGTGACGATACAGCTTCCCGTCACCATAGCAACGAAACGTAATGGTTCATCTGTGTGTCCGATTCCTTTGTCTTGTCCCCGTGCGATCTGACAGGCAATCTGTTGTGGTATCTGCTCTTCCTTTGTTAAAACGTATCCAGTTACTCCAAGACGCTGTCGAAAACTTCTAACGATTATGTTGCTGACACAAAGTGATCGATAGAGTCAAATTTATGCTGTTTCTGTCATCTCCTTTGCAACTGAAACGCAATACTTTGCCCCTAGCAAGAAGCTTAAATTGTATTGTTCCTTTCAATTGTCGAAGACTCATTGGGAATAAATACTTTTTCGCAGATTTCATAGGAGCAAACAAAGAACAGTTTACGGAGCAGACATTTTATAATTAAATTTCAGAAATCATTAGTTGCTACTAACAATTTAATTTATTGCTCATCGTTTGGAAAGGATCTATATAATCATTTAGTAAAGTAATAAATACAAAACAGAATTTATTTTATTGCAAACATATATATATTTAATGCAACAGTTTGTCGTCTTTTAACATATCATAAAAAAGTTTTTAATGCAAAAGAAAAGAAAGTTTTCAGTAAAGCAACGCCGTAAATTTCAGAAAATAGGATTACCACAGGAACTCGGATGCATTTTTTATTTCTAATTACACTTTGCATAAATTCATTAATAATTTAAAAGTTATAAACTATCTGTTTATTGATATAATCAAATAATTTCTTATTAGAAATCGTATACGTAATTTATGACAATTTCTGATTAAGGAAAAGATCCGACAATAAATATAAAAATTATCAATAAAAAAGTAAGAAAGTATCACAAATGCCTATTGTTCTCTTGTTAAAAAGTTTTGTGATTTGTTTGCATAAATCAGAATTTTAATCGAGAACGTGAATAAAACTATCGCTAATAAAAAAATGAAATAATAATATCAAAAATCAAGATTTCATTATGGATTACTTCTTCATTTGATGTTCTCTTTCAAAAATTTTTGTTCATTTCGTTATTTACATATTTATAATTCTTATTTTTATTATAAAAAGGCAAGATATTTTCGATATATCAAGAATTAATTTAAGAAGATAAATATAAATCTTATCATTGCTTCATATTTACATTAGAAACTAAGCATTTTCGTAATAAAAATTGATACTAAGATAAAAATTGCAAAGTTTTTCAATATTAAGAATATTTATTATAATTACGGCTATTTATTTTATGTATCTTTTATTATACGTTTCTGATAATCTTTTACATTGAAATCAATAACACGACTAATTACGATTAAAATAATCATTAAAAAACCCACATTAAAAAGAGTAAATTAAATTAATCTCTTTGAGAAAACTTTAATTATGTCTTTTTAATTAAACTTTTGAGAATAGATTAAATCGGTGTAAAAATCATAAATCTAAACAAAGAGACGAGATCATAAATAACAAGCATAAATTAATTTTATTATTTTTGATTTTTTTTTCAAATGTGTTAATTATCTTATATTATAATAAATATTAAAAGTTTCGGTAATTTAAAAAACGCAGGAATAATTTTTATCATCTTTTTATCCCTTTAATTAACAGATTTAAATCTGTATAAAAATTTATAACTATTTTCAGGGGAAAAAATTAAGAGATAATTCATTAAAATGTGCAAAAATTCTGTTATAATCTTATGATAATTTTGTTTGTTGACATTTCTGTATATTAAAAAACTTTTCATTAAAATAAACAAGATTTAAGATCTGAAATTTTTCCTTATATAAAGTTATTTAATATTTGACTGTATTCACTTCGAAAAAACGTCAAAATATCGGATTCGAACAAAAATTTGATTTGGAGATTTCTATTTAATAAGTCAAATATCGATTTTTCCCGAAAAATACGTTATTTTACGTACCATAAATATACAGTGTAGGAATAATTCCAACGTAATTTTGAACTTCTGCTCTATATTTAATAGTAGTACCCAGTAATATATTAAATTGTACGAACGTCAATCATAAAATCAATAATTTTTTTACAGAATATATATTTTATATATATATAAAAATATATTTTACATACAATATATATGTAAAAATATATNTTTCCTCGAAAAAACATAGTTATTATTTAAAATAAATTGTATCTGGATGCGCTACTCGGAATAGTCACAGTTGTATATTAACATATTCGATATCATTTTTCTTGGTAAGAAAATTTATCCCCTTTCTATCAAAATTTCCATTTTTATCTGCAAACTCTAGGCGATATTAGGGCGCTTTGTTCGGTTTATCATCGAAACTGCGTTACTATTCACTGGAAAAAAGTATCTAGTTTTCAGGACATAATCCCTTCTTATGCATTCGAAATTTAAATTATTGTTGCATATAGAAATTTCTAAACATGGAAATTTTAAAATGTTTACAATAAATGGGCTTTCGAGCGAGTACTTTGGCTATTTCTTTATTAAAAACACAGACTAATCCTTCACACAGAGCTTTAGATCCTATATGGAATTTCCTATACAACACTTCCAGATCATCGAAATCTATATATTTTATATATAACAACTCGAGTTAAAAAATAAATATTCTATTGAAATTCTTATATATTTTTTAAATTAAAATTAACTCTAAATATTTAAAAAGTTTTGATAATAAACGATAAAAATTAGACTTAATAATAATAATTTTAAAACTAGAAAAGGAGCAATGAAAACTTTACAAACGTCAATAACAGAATTAAATCTACTTTATTGTGATTTAACCTCCAGATAAAACGATAAAAAATAGAAAATTATGATTAAAATTAATGGAAAATAGAAGAAAATTATCTTTCTGAAATAAATATCGAAGTTATAAAATAGGAAAATCGTTTTAAAAATACGAATCTGTACTTTATTTTGTTCTTCGCGTACAGATCCTCATAGATTTATTCATGTTCAAATGATAAAATACTAATAAATAATAAAAAGTAACGTTATAAACTACAGAAAATTTTGCACTACATAAAATTAATTTGTGTTGAATTTATATTAAATCATATATCGTCGATCAATCAATATATATTTAAATAGTAGTCTGTTTGCATCGTTGATTCCGTCCGACTTCTTTTATCTATTCTTACTTCAGCATTTATTTTGAGATCTTATTTAAATTTATCAATAAACCATACATTTATCACTTCTCTAATTCATTTCCCCCCTCTTTCTACGAATGTCTGAAAAGTTGTTATTCACGACTGCTGTTTTAAATCAATCATCAAATATGTTTCCTTTGTGGATCCGAATCTTTTGCTTTTAAATGTACGCTGCAATTTTATATTTTTATAATCACTTATTCCTTCTTTTTAAATTACATAATTTAACTATAAAAAAGAGAAAATTGTATCTATAACAGCGTTTTGATAGTATTAAAAATGCAATTGTAGTTAGTAAAATATCCTCCTCGTAAGTGATCATTTATCTTCTTTAGAAGGGAGATTTCTATTTAAAAATAGGCCTATTCGTTTCCTTTATATATATATTTATATACTATGATAAAATCGAAAAATGTAAGGTTTTCTAAGATTCTGTTTAAAAGTATTTCTGTTAGTATAATTCGAACTTGACGGTCGAATGATTAACCCTGCGGTGAATGGCCTTGAAAATTTTCAGGAATGAATGCCCTGGATCTGACAGACAGACAAATTGTCTTCTAGCCACGGCACAGTAAAATTATTCAATTTGATTTTTACATAAATTTGTAATACCACCATAAGTAGAAAGGTATGTGTAATATTAAATGCCTATCTATGTAAATACATAACGAAAATATACTTCAAAAGTCGGTTGGGTCTGTGAGACCCAGGCCATTCATTGCAAGGTTAAGTTTTACTACTGTACAGTACATAACACTTCCGCCATCTACAGTCGATTCTTAAAAGTAAACTGTATCTTTTAACGTTACTTTTTGGTTTCTATAATCGACATACAATACTCTATTTTCTTTTTATTACGCTGGCATCTCGAAATATTTAAGAAATTTTACGCGTTAATAGAAAGACTACGCGGTTCTTTTTCGTTCCTACTCTTCCTCTTAATTTTTTTTACTATATTATTATACACTACTGGCCAAGTAAAATAAAACACCATGATAGACTATAAATATTGAAACAATGGAAGCTTCATTCGTGATGTTGCATTTTAACTTGGCCAGCAGCGTAATTTAAGACTTAAACCTAAAATAATTAGTTCCAAATTGACTGATATATTAATAATATAAACTTTTTAAACGTTTACCAAAGTTTTAGAAGCAAATTATCTTTATGCTATTTAATTAATTTTTGAGGCTCCTCGAGACGACGAGGCCCTAGGCGCGTGCCTAGTGCACCTATTAGGTAATCCGCCACTAAACTCCATCCACATCCTCTATAGAAAATCTAATAAATTGTGTGAATTGGCATTGAATAATTCAGTGGTCAATGTGACATTCTAAAATATTATAATGGAAGTTTGTGAATGTTTTTCGTGAATTTCATTAATTAAAATATATATATATATATATATATTTATTTATTTATTATTTATTTCTAATATAAAAACGATTCTTTTATATTTTATTTTTAACTTATATTTCTTGAATAATATATAAATATATCCATTTGATCGAATTTTATTAGTACAAATTCCATGATTTTAGACATTAAAAAAAATAATAATTTTAACATTCATTTATCAATGAACCTTTTCAAATATTAAAATTCTTTCGAATTCGATTCTCAATTTCAAGATAAAAACGATAAAATCAATTTTGAAAATGTATTTTTTTTTTGTTTTCAAATTTTATTAAAAGTTATTTTATCGATAGGAAATTAATTTTTCAATATATATTTTCAATTAATTGAGTGGCATTTCCAATTTTGTCCGTCACAAAACGTTACGGAAAAGAAGACAGATAAAAAAAAACACACACATTCCTTTTGTCATTATAGTGTATACTCTTACGTCGTTTTGACGTCAAATCTGTACTTTTGTTATAATAAGTAAACGTAAAAATGACGTCGAATTGACGTATTGGTGTACTGTACAGCATTACAGTATTTTACAGATTAACAACACACCAATTATCATCAGTGTGTTTTATCAGATGCGTTATACACGTTTAGCTTGATAATGAAGCAGTCTCTTAAATAAATTACACAGATTCAACAATTTAAATTCATAGATTCACAGTATTGCATTGATAATTTTTTTTTAATATTGTAAGAATTCTTACAATTACGCTCATATTTCTTATATATTGAGACTAAACAAGTAACCAAAGTAATAAAATGGCGAATACGCATACAAATCTAAATAGAGATACATTAAAAAAAATTATATATTTAGAAATATAAGTGTTATATAATAATAAAATTTTGACCTATTTAGGGGAGACCGGGGCAACTTCGGCATGCCGGGCAAGTTTGTNCTTAAATTGTATTGTTCCTTTCAATTGTCGAAGACTCATTGGGAATAAATACTTTTTCGCAGATTTCATAGGAGCAAACAAAGAACAGTTTACGGAGCAGACATTTTATAATTAAATTTCAGAAATCATTAGTTGCTACTAACAATTTAATTTATTGCTCATCGTTTGGAAAGGATCTATATAATCATTTAGTAAAGTAATAAATACAAAACAGAATTTATTTTATTGCAAACATATATATATTTAATGCAACAGTTTGTCGTCTTTTAACATATCATAAAAAAGTTTTTAATGCAAAAGAAAAGAAAGTTTTCAGTAAAGCAACGCCGTAAATTTCAGAAAATAGGATTACCACAGGAACTCGGATGCATTTTTTATTTCTAATTACACTTTGCATAAATTCATTAATAATTTAAAAGTTATAAACTATCTGTTTATTGATATAATCAAATAATTTCTTATTAGAAATCGTATACGTAATTTATGACAATTTCTGATTAAGGAAAAGATCCGACAATAAATATAAAAATTATCAATAAAAAAGTAAGAAAGTATCACAAATGCCTATTGTTCTCTTGTTAAAAAGTTTTGTGATTTGTTTGCATAAATCAGAATTTTAATCGAGAACGTGAATAAAACTATCGCTAATAAAAAAATGAAATAATAATATCAAAAATCAAGATTTCATTATGGATTACTTCTTCATTTGATGTTCTCTTTCAAAAATTTTTGTTCATTTCGTTATTTACATATTTATAATTCTTATTTTTATTATAAAAAGGCAAGATATTTTCGATATATCAAGAATTAATTTAAGAAGATAAATATAAATCTTATCATTGCTTCATATTTACATTAGAAACTAAGCATTTTCGTAATAAAAATTGATACTAAGATAAAAATTGCAAAGTTTTTCAATATTAAGAATATTTATTATAATTACGGCTATTTATTTTATGTATCTTTTATTATACGTTTCTGATAATCTTTTACATTGAAATCAATAACACGACTAATTACGATTAAAATAATCATTAAAAAACCCACATTAAAAAGAGTAAATTAAATTAATCTCTTTGAGAAAACTTTAATTATGTCTTTTTAATTAAACTTTTGAGAATAGATTAAATCGGTGTAAAAATCATAAATCTAAACAAAGAGACGAGATCATAAATAACAAGCATAAATTAATTTTATTATTTTTGATTTTTTTTTCAAATGTGTTAATTATCTTATATTATAATAAATATTAAAAGTTTCGGTAATTTAAAAAACGCAGGAATAATTTTTATCATCTTTTTATCCCTTTAATTAACAGATTTAAATCTGTATAAAAATTTATAACTATTTTCAGGGGAAAAAATTAAGAGATAATTCATTAAAATGTGCAAAAATTCTGTTATAATCTTATGATAATTTTGTTTGTTGACATTTCTGTATATTAAAAAACTTTTCATTAAAATAAACAAGATTTAAGATCTGAAATTTTTCCTTATATAAAGTTATTTAATATTTGACTGTATTCACTTCGAAAAAACGTCAAAATATCGGATTCGAACAAAAATTTGATTTGGAGATTTCTATTTAATAAGTCAAATATCGATTTTTCCCGAAAAATACGTTATTTTACGTACCATAAATATACAGTGTAGGAATAATTCCAACGTAATTTTGAACTTCTGCTCTATATTTAATAGTAGTACCCAGTAATATATTAAATTGTACGAACGTCAATCATAAAATCAATAATTTTTTTACAGAATATATATTTTATATATATATAAAAATATATTTTACATACAATATATATGTAAAAATATATAACGTGATAAAATAACAAAAATAAAACATAGAATATTACCTGTCAGGTTTAAACATTTTAGAATTCCTCGAATGTATAGCAGACCAGCTTATATTATCGGAAAGACAAGAATTTGATGAAATTCCTGTAAAGGTGAAGAATTATTATATATGTATATTTTAAATTTATATTTTTTAAAAATATATTTATTTTATATAATATTTAAATCTTTATGTTAATTAATGTAGTGTTTATCTCATAATTATCAGCATTTTACATAATACCTTTATCAAGTCAAGTGTATAAGTGAAGATAAGACTAAATCCCTTACCAGGATGAGATTCAATGTTTCTAGACATCTGTCCACTTCGCGATTGTGTCCAGAGCTTTGCGTATGATGTGTAGTCTTCAACCTATATAGAGTTTTGGTAAGAATATATATCAGAATCGATTTATACATTGCCTGTACTTTAAGAAGTGTCATCATCCACGAAATTTGCATGTAATACCTTACTCGGAATTAAATGTGATAAGAGAAAATACTCTTTAACCTACTAGAAATGCAAAAGCAGTCTTATTGAAGTTTTACTACTTAATTCTGTTTATTCTAGAAAAAACTGCAGATAATGAGTTTTGCTTGGAAATTCTCACAAACGATGTTTTAATCGAATTTTCATTTTTTATTATTTTTTTAAGGCTTACACTTTTATAATTATAGCGTATCCGCTTAGATTGATACACGTTCGAATTTGGATTATCGATTTTTTAAAAAAATATTTTTATGTAAATTTTAAATAATTTAAGTTTAATGTATTCAATAAAAAAAAAAGCGAGAATTTTAAAATACGAAATTTATATTCATCTTATGTTACATAAACAATATCAATCATATTCCGTTAGAATATAAGCGTTGTTCGAATGATTATATATTTCCATTTATCTCAATATGTCATCAGAATGAGAATATAAAATGTAAAATGATTATTCAAAGCCGAATTTTGTGATTTATAAACGTAATTACTAGAATTATTGATCTAAAAATTATGCTGCCTATGATTAAAATTTAAATTTCTATACAAGAAATCTTTACTTTTCTCTTTCTTCAAATTTTTTAATATGCTTAAATCATATTTTTATCTGAAAAAAGTAAAAAAATCGCCCAGATATTGCTTCAGAAATAAAAAAAATATATATGTGCACATTATACAATAATCGCGAGAAATATCTAATAAAAAACAGCCTTAAAATACAAATATACTTTACATCAGTTAAAAATTGTGTATAAAATTTGATACAGATCAGAGTAGTGCTCTAAATCGTTAAAGATAGAAGAGAATGGAAGCAGAAGTGATAAGTAAATACATTCGTGGCCAAAAATAGGTACAATAAAATAGGATAACACAAAAAGAAAATGAAAATCTCTGATGTGCTTTCACTTTTCTTTCATAGAATTTTTATATATAAGCAGTTGTAATTTCGATCATTAAAATAAAAATTTTAATGGAACAGTAAATTCTTTATTAGTTACTCTACCCTTTAATTAGAATTTTCTATTTAAAAATATACTCTCCTTAAGTTTCAGATGATTAAGACTTATTTTAAAGTGTCGGCTACTTCAGAAGTAATTCTGGATGTATAATAATAAATGTAAAATTCAAGCTGGAAAATAAGAAAATTTATTTTGAAAGAGGTATTTGGAGATTTTACATTAACAACCATTCTTGTCACGTAGTTTGAGTATAAATTACAAAAGTATGAATATTAGTGGAAAGGAGAGAGAAAGGAAAGCAAATCATGATTTAGTTAGTTACAGTTTTGTCACAGTCTCTTGCGACATATTATGCAGGTTTACAACCACATCCACTAAACTTCTACAATGAGTTATTTCTGTAAATTCGCACAGTTGCGAGTTTATTCTGTTTATTGCTTGAAAAGTTTTGTACGGATATAAGCGTTGCTATAGAAGTCTTATAATTTCCATACTTGAATGAATTCTACTGAAAACAATAAGTGCACAAATTAAGCCCTATAATCTTTATTATATCAAAATCTTCTGTGAATTTCATTTTGAAAAATTCGAAAAGTTTACGGTATATAAAAGATTGTATTTTTATTCAAAAGATCCGAATAAAAGAATTCATATTTTATAAAAATTTTGACGTAATATTTTTGCGCAATAAATTATTCTTTTGGAAAAATTTCTGAGTATTTTTGAGCTTCATTAAAAGCGATTTTATTTGTGATTTTAGAGTTATTATAAGGATTTTCTCGGGAATTATAGTATTATCCAGCAATATAATACTAAAATACAGTGTATTTTTAAGATTATTTTGACTTTATGAGAGCTATATTTCTTTATCATATTATTTCTTTATCGTAACACGGAAATGCTACCGAGAGTGTATATAAAATATATTGCTTAAAATTCAGCTTAAATTTTTTGGGTAAAAATGCTTAAAAAAACTCAAAGATATATTTGAATATATTTCGAAATTAGAATGAATTTCATTCATTTAATTATAAATTGATTCGAGTTTCAACCGTATGTTCATGTTTATTTCCATAAAATAGATGCAAATTGTTTACAAAGATCCAATTATAGAGATAATTGTATTTTAAAAACTTATAAAAGTGTAAAATTTCTTCGAATCATTCGGAATATTTTAAAATATTACAAGTACGCATTAATTTATCGTAATAAAAGAGGTTTAGAAAGATTAATTTTTTCAAGTTTATTTCTATTGATTCTTATACAGAGTGTCCCAAAAATCACTTAAGTATTTCAACTTATTTATTATTCGTTTCGTGTTATTTTAATTTGTAGATATTGAAAAGATAACTGTACACCAGAAGAGAAGTAAAAATATACATTTTGAATATATCAAGTAAATGATATATACAAATTACTTATATTTAGGGGAGATCGGGGCAACTTCGGCAAGCGGGGCAAGTTTGTCAAGCGCTTTTTTAAAAAACAAATTAAAAGGAGACTTTGGTTATAGGTTAGGCAGTTGAGTTTTATTGGTGGCTTGTTGAGTGTAGTGTTTTTATTGTTCTCCAACAAGCGTAGTTGAATTATCAAGCAAATTTTCATTTTCGTTCAATTCCATATAATATTTTTTTTCCATTTAATTGAATTGGCAGGTTTGTTATAATTCCATGATAACGAAAGTTACTTTTCCTGTTAGAAGGATGTAACTTCAACTTATTCACGTGGCCAGATCGTGGCTTGGCATTCTGTTCTCAGGGTTGTACTTAATGTTTCGAAATCATGACTAGCGGGGTAAGAACGGCAACATAAAGCCACATTAGAAGCAAAGGATAAAAATCAAACAGATGATAAATGAAAACATGTTTGCATTTGTTATTCATGTATGTATGTCTTTGAACTTGCATTTCGTTGTAATAATATTAAATGGGTGTTGGATTTGTATTTCTTTGTTTTAATAGTGAATTCCAACTTATACATTGTTAATAACATAATTTCTTATACGTGCCTATCTTGCCCCATTACTGTTGCCCCTATACCAGGGGCAACTTTAATAAAAATAATTAAAATAATTACAACTTTACAAAAAGAGAGAAGTTGCCGATCTTGCCCCTATACCCGGGGCAACTTCGTCAATTTCTCTCTTCTTGTAAAGTTGTAATTATTTTAATTATTTTAATTTCCAAACTGATTTTAACCAGTTCTATAGTAAGGTAACATTCCAATAGACAATATGCAAAGCTTTTTTTTCAGTTTACAGCAGTATTTATTACACAAAATTTAAGTAAAGCTTAACATGCCGATCTTGCCCCGATCTCCCCTATATCTACGGGTTCGGTTTTTTGGGACACACTGTACAAACGAAAAGAACATAATCAATTACTGTATAAGAAAATTCAACATGAAATTTAAATTTACTTAAAATATAATGAGCTTATAATTTTAAAATTAAATTTTAATATATTATCAGTTGATTATGTTTGATCGAATCATAAAATATATTTGTTTAACCAACCTGCGTGATTCGATGAGGTATGTCATATTCATGATCCCTTCTTTGCCTTCCATGTCTTCTAATGGTATTACTATGAGTTACAACATTTGGACTTTCGGCATATGATGCCAACTGGGTAGTTGCATATGGAGTTGGATAATAAAGCGGTTCTCTCTGATTATCATCTGATTGATCACTTCGCTTTACTTTGCCATAGGAACTCATGGATAGATTTTCACCTTTACCACCGGAACTACCTGAATCTTTTATACAAAATAATTATAACACGAAAATTACACAGAAGAAAGCTAATCTTTGAATGGTATACGTTAAATAAATTATACAAGACAAAATAATATTAGCTCCCAATTAATTTTGCTAATTAACTTACCTTAATTAATTAACTTAAGTAAACCTCCAAGAGAAATTTAGTCATAAATAGCAAACAAAGTTGTTTTCAAAAATATCCAAATTGTATAAAAAAAATTAAAAAGTGAAATATCCTAATTCAGTTAATACAATATAAGATCTAATTATAGATATTATTTTGCATCAATTAAAATATAATTAACATCATAATAAGAATAAGTTATATTGTATATTATTATTTATAAAATTCGAAATTTTTCATATTTACCAAAACAATGATAAATGTAAATGTTTATTGCTTTCTGTTATAGATCATAAATCAAACTAGAAATATTGAAAGGGGAAGTCGCCGAAAAAAATGATAAATGAAAAGCTATTTTGTATATTACGTAAATTGTCAAAATAAACCGTAGCTCACTCGTATTTGTTTGCAACATTACGTCGTGCGTGAGATCAAGCTACGTGCACTTCTCTAACAAAGTGATCGTGATTGAAAACAACGGAAGTCATGAGTAAAATCGTTTCTCCCCCTCAATTCCCATCTACTTATCGTTATGGCAACAGTGTCTACACAGAGAAAAGAAAAGCAACTTTGCTTCTCGCATTTAATGTGTTTTTCTGGAAAACATAAGGGCCGCAGGGTGAATTTCCTTCCGCTCTGAAAAATTTCTTTTTATGTTTTTATCGATTTTAAGCATGAAGACATAATGACATACTCTAGAAAGCGTAACATTAACGTAAAAGTCTAAGTAATATTAGAAGATGGTTAATGGCATTTTGGTTCTGACTTTCATCTGTTTAAAAGGAACAATTTTTTCTTTTTTATTTCCGATACAAGTAGGACAGTTTGCAGACGTCATGAAATTGTATTGCTTTTAGCTATTCTTCTTGTCTTCTCTAATTATTAATAGACTTTGTGTGTCTCTAAGCAATATGAGAGATCTTCGCATTTGCTTTATTCTTTGCTGACGATAGCTGCTTGAGAACTATTCGACTGAATTATAAAAGCCAAGTAAAATATTAAATTCAGAACATAAATGAATATCATGATTTAAGTTGTAATATTTATTTGAATTATAGTGTTATAAACTAGAAAATTTGATGCTGATTCTTATTATAATATATTACAATATCGAAGACAAATTTATGATTTATGTTGATATTATAACATATCTATGGCATCGTGTTGTGATGAAAATGAACTTGCTATCGCTTATAATATGATATGACAATATAATTATTGCTATCATAATAATCATTAGAATGCAGCAATTTATAAGAGAATATGTCATTCATCTCTTACAAATTATAAACTGAGTATTAATTAATGTAAAATTGACAATAATTATCGTATAAACTGAGGAGAACTTTATTATTTTGCTTATTTAAATGTTTCGTTTTTAAAAATAAAAGAAAATATGTTACGGATTTATAATTATGTCAATTTTTAAATTAATCAACATTAATTCAATTTTTTTTCCTTCTTCAATCAAGATTTGTTATGACTTGATTTAAAAATAAAAACATAAAAATAACGAGAAAATACTTGAGTAAAATATTATACATTTTACTTCAAAATTTTTATGTAATTCCGTTATTCTTTATATTTTCTTTTATTTAATATGAAAGATTTAAACAATTTTTTTTATATATAAAGAATATGGGATTAGTAAATTTAATAATCAGAATACATAAGTGGCAAGCCAGTTTCCTCTTCTTTTAATAAATTACATACAATTTATTTATCTTTTAACCATGTACGCTATTATTAAACATTGTAATAAACTTGGTTGGTTAGCATGTTATGTTTCTTTTTTCTTTTCTTTTCTTACAGAAACTAAAGAATTTGGTAAATATCCATTCCATAAAAATAAATAATGACTTAATTATAAACATAACTATTCAAAAATGTCCAGATTACGTTTTATTCGGATGCAAAGAATTCCATTTAAAGAACATTAGATCAAGATAATGAACTTTGATGGAATTCACAGTAAAATCATTTTTGAAAAGACATAAAAAAAGCGTAATAGAAATTAATTCATTGTCTGAAAAATTACAGATTAATTAATTCATTAAATAAATTCGTTAAATTATTTTCATTTTTTACATAATAAATTGCTTGAAGATTTTTTCATTTATTTTTTGCTTATATTCATTAAATATGATGAAAGTTTTTTTTTAAAGTTTGCAATTTAAAAATATCCCTAACCTTTATTTTTCTTTCTTATCAATATACATTATAAAATTTGATAGATATTTTTAATTTAGAATAATAACATTTAAATTTAAGATGATAATTTTTTTAAATANAATAACGGTAATTTTTTAATAAATAATTTTCCAGGAAAATATGTTTAATTCCTTTTTCACATATATTTATATAACATAAATAATCATACTTTATTAAATTCGGAATGGAAAAATATGATGATAATGTAATATAAGTACAGGTAATAACCACATGAGGTCTTTTATGCTGAATCTTCTCTAGTCTACCTTACAGCTCTTGAAACGACTTAATTATTATCGGAAAATTGATGCTTTTATTGATTTTCTGATTGTTATATGAGGTCGGTTAACTATAGAAGTTGGATGTGTATATTTAATGCATGCAGTACCAATTTATCTGTATATTTTTATAATAAACGTTTACTTTTCATTTTATAAGAATTCTAAATTTAAATAATAATAAATAATTTTACATAACTTCTCTCATAACTCTATAATAATTAGATAGAAAATATTGTTAAATTATATGAATAGATTTAATATTTTGCTATATTAAAGTTATATAAGGATCAATTCTACGGTTTAGTGTCACAATACTATCAATGGAAAAAATCGATTGTATTTTTAGATATGATCAATTTGAGTAAGATAAAGAGAATTTCGATTAGAAATAAATCAAATGCTTTCAACTTAACAGATAACTTTTCATATCTTGATATTTTAATGGAAATGAGAATGCGTAGCAAGCATACTGCATAAGGCATAATGAGTTGTTAAATGACGTTTTGTATATGAAAATGTAACATTAAATATGATAGCCATTAAATTTTGTATTGAATTCCGTGAATAAATTACGGCAGATAAAACGCATTAGCTTTATCTCCAAGTATATAGAAACATGTTAGATAATCTTCAAATCTCTAAAATTAACATTGATAAGCGTAAAAATAGAGTAAGATTAAATCAAAATTATAAGTTTCCAACAAATTCCAGAAATTTTTAGAAAGGAAGCAATCATTTGATTATATCTATCTCCATTAAAATTAATTTTATTCTTTTGTTTGAATAGAATAAGATAAATTTAGTTTCAATCTGGTTTCAATCAATTCAAATTCATTACCGTTTTAAGTTATTTTTAGATGAATAAATTACAGAATAGATATTTAAGATTTTAAAAAAATACATACATTACACTTTTAGCTTAAAAATTATAATAAAGCAATAAAAGTTTAGTATTTTCCCCCCTTAAATTATATTTTTATAAAATTAGTTTTTAAGTTTATGCATCTCTTAAATTATTTTTTATTTCCTACGTTTTTAGTTTAAAAATTCATATCAATCAGTTTACAAAATTTATTTATTTTACCTTACATTATGTAAGCAAACAGATGTAAGTATCCAATATATTATTCGGAAAAGTTATAAAAATTTTGAAATATTAATAATCCAAATATGAAAATCGAAAACCCCATGATGTATTTATATAACATTAGAAATATAGATAAAAAATTTTCTTTTAGGAGTAGGGTCTTAGATATAGCATTTTAGATTTATTGAAAGTTTAACCATTAATTTTAGAAACTGGAGAAATTCTAGTTTCCAAGTTTCCTGATTAAAGAATAAAAAAAAAAAAGCCACTTTTCCATCTGGAGAAAGAATAGCTATAAATCTTGCATTTTTGAAAGACCACACTTAATTTCAAATTTCATTTTAAAATAGAAAAATCAAAGTATTCGCTGGAAACAATTGAAAGAATTAATATCTTAAAATTCTTACATTAAATTATATTTATTGCATTAAATTAAAAATAGTTTCAGAATTGTATTATTGTTTCGTACTAAATTATTTTAATTTATAATAAATTACACAAGATAATTTTAAGAAAATTAAATATATACATAATACATTATAAAATATAACCAATATTTTAAATTAATTAAAGCGAAAATTAATCAATCAATCATAAGATACATTTTAAATGTAACTTAAAAATAAATTACTTAAAAATTAGTTTTAATGTAATAAATTATTATAATTAATAACAATGTACTTAAAGATAAATTATTGAAATTAGAAAATTTATAAAATATTTGGTTCAATTTTTACGCCCCTGTAAATTATTTATTTCTGTAAAGCAAATTTCTTAAAAAGAAAGCACGAAATAAAAAATAAAAATCCTTTTATCGTTGATGAATAAATAAAAAAATTACTTTAATTAAATTTTAAATATTTTATTACTAGTTATAGTTACTAGAAAGTTGGAATAAGTGATATTGATGAATATTGATAATTTTGTTTCGACTTTTCCTAGAACACTGATTATTATTTAAATAAATTTTGTTTTATTATTAAAGAGATTTTAAAATGCTGAATTTTAATAATTTCACGGATAGAACATTAATGAATTGAAACTTTTTAATATAAAAGTTTCAAATTATTTTGTAATTTTTTAAAATAACAAATACAGACTTTGCTTCATATCTAAAACGAGAATTTTCATTCTTAAATAAAGATTTTAATAATATTTTGCTTAATTTCAATATTTTTAATGAGAAAAAATGTGCATGTATTTTAAATAGCAATTTTTTAAAGTTTTTATATTACAGTTTTCATTCAATATATCAGTAATAACGGTAATTTTTTAATAAATAATTTTCCAGGAAAATATGTTTAATTCCTTTTTCACATATATTTATATAACATAAATAATCATACTTTATTAAATTCGGAATGGAAAAATATGATGATAATGTAATATAAGTACAGGTAATAACCACATGAGGTCTTTTATGCTGAATCTTCTCTAGTCTACCTTACAGCTCTTGAAACGACTTAATTATTATCGGAAAATTGATGCTTTTATTGATTTTCTGATTGTTATATGAGGTCGGTTAACTATAGAAGTTGGATGTGTATATTTAATGCATGCAGTACCAATTTATCTGTATATTTTTATAATAAACGTTTACTTTTCATTTTATAAGAATTCTAAATTTAAATAATAATAAATAATTTTACATAACTTCTCTCATAACTCTATAGGATAAATAAAATCATTAATTAATATGAAAATTCGATATAAAATTTTAAGACAAATTATATAATTTTATATAATAAGAATACATAGTGATTATTTATGTTTTAATAAACTTAAAATAGGAAATTATTATATACATAAATCAACTCCGAAAGGAAACAAATGTTTGAAAATTAATTCTTTAATTACTTTTAATTTATATCTTGTGCATACATGTATACATTTACATTTCTATGTTCTAAATAAATGTTGTATATATTATGTAATTGTTAGAAAAACTTAAATAATAAAAGTATAAAATGTTTATTATTGGTAAAGTAATATAATAGTTAAATTTCAAGGGATCTAATGAATTAAATATGATTCGTTGTCATGTATTTATAAGTTATTATTTGTCACTACAATAATAACGATAATACCTACACTATAATGCTTAAACATTTGCAGGTGGCAATTCGTGAAATTTAGATGGGCTCGCTTCTTATCTGCATAATTTGCTCAGACGTACACATTCATTTTGTCCATTTCTATATTAATTGCATGAACTGGATAACCAGACAACCGTATATGTTTAACATTTCAAGAAGAATGAACGACTCTTAATTAGTTGTACTGTTTAAGATTTTTAATTATAATATAAAAGTATAAAACTACAAATATTTTTAATATAATAATAAATAAAATAATTCTAAAAGTGCTTTTTTACATTTCTTAAAATAAATTTAATACAGAAAAAGAAATATTTTTACATGTTTCGTTGTTACAAGAAAATGTTAGTTTTCAAGTATTTTATACGATTTTAATGAGAAAGTTTGAAAAAATAAAGAGATTATAATTTATAAAGCATGAAATGAAATTTAATTATTATTTAAATTAAATTTACTAAATCAATAAAACTGTATCTAAGTTTTTTTTTATAGTTTTGTTCATTCATAATTAAAAATTCGATATTTTTTTAGCAACAGGACTAAATAATCTTACATTATTTTATAATTAATTATCTAAATTTATATAAAAGTAAATAATAAATAATAAAATTCACATGAGATTTAAAATTTTATACATTAAGCACCGGAGAAACATTTTTCATTTAATTTTGAATTATTAAAATTGAATCTTAAGATATCGCTGATATAAAATTCATAGATAAAAAATACTTTAAAATAATTGATATTTATTGCATATACCGCACATGTAATATTATTTTAAAGGATAAAACTTTATCAAAATGCATAATAAACAAAAGAAATTTATTTGTGAATTTTTCTTCTAGAGCTTTTTGTAATATCAAATGAAAGAAAAATCGATTTAAAAAATTTTCCCCTCTAAGGAAATGCATTTCTACTTTGTAATGTAAAATATAAATCTCGTTAAAATTCTGCAATATCAATTTCATTTTAGAATAGAAGAAAAGATATANTTTAAGTATAAATAACTATAATAAACACTGTTTAGTTAAATTTTTAAGTTCATTACCCTAGTATTAAAACGAATGTATAAATATTATACAGTATACCTTATTGTGCAGGCGGAAAATATTGATTTTCATCTATCATTTCTTACTTTATATATTTATAAACTTGCGGTAAAAAATTAAATACGTTGAACGGCGAATTTTTTTCACTGTTTAATTGTCAACAATACATTAAGCTGTCACAGATTTTTATTTGATTTATGGTCTTATCAACTTGTAGATCTTTTACGCTTAATAGCTGTAACATAAAAAAAGATAATATTAACTTATCAATATTTCTTTCAGTGGAAAAAAAATTGTGTCTAGAAAATAAAAGAATGAAGTAGAGTATATAATACGCAACAACTATACAAATATATTATTTATAAAGAAATCAATATTATTGCATATAAAACTTACAAGCTTGTGAACGACATTCTGAAGGTGTATCTTTTCGTCTCAGAACTATTACAACAGCAACCACAATTGTAATTACTACTACTACAACAATTGCGCAGATAATTGGGACAAGAACTGCTGGATCTGTTAGTAAAAGCAGAGATCCACTAGTTGACACATCCAGTGGTGGAACTGTACCTTAAACATACATAAATTTATTTCTGTAGTAAAATATTATGTTTAAAATATTCATTACTATACTAGTTTTACTGATTTAAGTATAACCCCTAGTGCTATTTATAAATATAGTACTGTTTAGCATTGATAATGTGGTTTAAATAAAATTTGTAATGTATATAACAACTTACATTGTTTGTACCTATTCTGTACAGGGTTATACTTAAAAATATATAAGTTAGTAACTGAATTATATAGGAAAAATTATATACTAATTTATTTAAAAACAATTCCGTATTCAAGTTTTAAGCTATAGTTTGAATATCCTGTGCAGTATATTTCTGAACTAAAGTAAAAAATGAAAATAAATAAAATTCCTCTTTTCATTTCTATAAAACAATAGAAAAATATTTTTTTAAACAGAATTGTATAGTTTAAAGTTTCCTTTTACTCATATCCACAGTCAAATCCCACAAGTATGTGACTAGATCCAACAAATTGCTTTTCTTTCATCGAGCGATGTAACTATCCAACGATCAGGTACAGATGTTCTCCCTAAGGGTAATTATCCATCTCTAGCTATCTTCACTTATCTTTTGAACAGTTGGTAGCTTGAGATCGAAACTGTCTACAAATGACACAGTAAAGGTTGTGCATCCAAGAGTGTTGCACTACAACTGTCAAACGATAACTGTTGTTTTATAAATAACGTCAATCAACGTTCTAACACACATTCTTTACGGCATATCAACGTAAATAAATAAATCAAATTGATTATTACAGAAATAATTCATTTAATAAAGGATGGTTTACAATATATATTCACAACTTACGTGACAAACAAGTAAGAAATTTAATAAATAATAATTTACAAGAATTAGTTTCAAAATAATGTTTCAGAAAATGACAAAAAAAAGTGCTTCAGCTCTGAGAGAATTTTTTACAAGTTAAATATATGAGTTCAATTTTATGAAGTATATTCTTCTCAGTTTTTTAAGATGTATGAGTCGTGTTATCGTAACGTTGTGACAAATTTATACTTTTATAAATTTTTTGTAATTTAGTATTTATAAAAAGTGAAATTTCTAAGTATCAATATTAGTCAAAGTAATACTTTCTTTTTTGCTGTTTTACTAAAATTTAAAGTAACGTTGAAATTTATCAGGTAGTTATTTTTTCCTTCCTGGCGAGATTTGTGAAGATCATTACAAATAAAAGACTCGATTCATCCAACTTGAAGGAAGAGGATCAATGAGGAAATTGATAGATTTGAGACAGAAAATAGATCAATGTGTACAAAAATAAAAATTAATTAGATTTTTTTATTTTCGAATTAATTTTTTTTACATTTCTTTACAATATTTAAATTAAAAAGAATAAATCAATACGTATTTGAAATGATTTTAAAACGTAAAAAGTAACGGAGATGCAGTTTAGTGGAAATGCTAAAATTTCAGTCTTTTATTATAAAATTTGAATTATAAATTACATTTACGATTTTTTTACAACCGAGTCGTAAAGACTCAGCTTGCACATTAATGAACAAAATAACCAAGTTCGGTTCATCATTAACTTAATAAAACATTAAAAAGTAATACATTTAATAGAATTTCACATACAATTAACAATAACTTCACTAAAAATCAAAGTTTCTGATTAAATACCGACTAGAACTTCAATAAAATCAGAGATTAAAATATTTCTTATAAATCTGATAGCTAATTGTAAACAATAGAGGATGATTTTCTTCATTACTCAGAATAACATTATAACGGAGAATTGAGTTTAATTACGATAATCCTATTATACATGGAAGAGATAACATAATTTCATTGTAATTAATAAAAAAAAATATAAAATTATAATTAAATAAAATTAAGATTTTAAGATAGTTTAATAAATAAATTTAATTCTATTATAAAGAATAAATGTTATATTTTATTTAATCTTAAATAAAACGTTTATATTAGCGGTTTTCAATCTTTTACTTATTGAATATATAGCCCACAATTTGTTTTATATTAATATAATTTAAAATATAGGCCTATATTATTATTATTCGATGGACAAATCGATAGACAAATTTTCCATCGACCCCTAAATAACTCCCAATAATTTATCGACCCCCAGATAAATTGATTGACCCCTTGAGAGTCGCTAACGACCAGGTTGGGAACCCCTAATTTACATTATACATGTAAAACTTTAAAAGTGATTAAAGTTTGTTATTTCTATCATTTATTGTTATTCTATAACAAATATCCAGTTGCTATAATTATATCCGATGTTGTAGTATATCGATTGGCTACAATAAATTAAAAATGATTAAAGAAATAAAATTAAATATTAATAATGATAGATTTTCACTATTTTAAATGTAGTGCTAATGATATTTGTTCAAAGGCATTTATAATATAAACAAATCTCCGATTTTGTTGTGCATTTTTATTATCGTAAACTCATCAAAATATATAATAATCGAACTAAACACTCAGACATGTTATTGCTTTCTGTACTTCAATATAATTGCAAGAATTCTATTTACTTTATACAGCAAATTCCGTTGTTCACGTTGCTAAAGGTACAATTTAGATTAAACCGCTTCAGTGCTTCTGGAATATAATTTATAGAGGTCGTATAAATGGACAGATTACTGGTAATAAAATAACTTAGATTGTTACCTTCTCTACTAAAAATAACAAAATTAATGCATAATAATTAATTAATGAACGTGTTCCGCCATGTTAAATTTTAATTTATTGTATGTTATGATGGTTAGCATCTAGAAATCAAATATTAAAAAAAATGACAAGAATAAATTATGGCCCAAAACATGTAAAATCGTTTATTTGGATGAATACTACTATATTATAAATTTTAGCAGAATTAAAAATAAATTTTCGAGAAAATAATTACATAAGATTTTTAAAAGAAGAATTTCATTACGTTCTGGGGGCAATATAAGCCACAATGTACCCAAAAGAATAATGGATTAGATAATGCGTTGTAAATGATGAAGAATAAATTTTCCATTAAAAAGCTAATTCCAGAAAAAAAAATTGCTTTTGAATACAAATAAAATAAGTAAAATGAAGTAACGATTTTGAATATCATATAACAAATTTAATTTTATAAAAGAGAAATTACCCGTAATGTGTTCTTGTTATTTTCTGTTTTCTCCCTTTGATTGCGTCATATAAGCCAATAATGTGAAGAATTTAGAACAGTATATCATCATATTATCATTATATTTTCCAAACTATCGAAGAATGCAAAGATTTTTCAGGTAATATAACTTTAAATATGATATGAAATTTAATATGAATCTAAATCAAATTTAGAATTATTCAATACAAACTCTTTATCAATAACTTTTATTTGAAGTCCAAAACATTTATAAACTATCATAAACTAAAATTTCCTGAAAGTTTTGTATTAGATTCCCGTCAGGAATAAGGGATAACCGTTTAAGTTTCTTCCATTTAAACCAGTCGGCAGTCATCCAAGCACTATGAACAGGAGCATTGTACTGTTGGAATATCCACTTTCTGCCATCAATCTTATGTGCAATGGCAAGAAATGATCTTCCAACAATTCATGATATCCGTTTGCGTTCGTTGCTTCCTCAACGAATGAAAATTTTAGTTTCCGATCTTATAAAAAGATGCCCAAACCATTACTTCAACAATATTTCTGTATATGTTTGGAGAGCAAAAATGATTCTTCACTTAAATCACATCCATAATAGGTTAACTTATTTGGTCCATCTAAGCTGAAAATTTTCTATCGGAAAGTTTTTTAATTTCTGTTTTGTCCAAAAAAAATGGCTAACTTCTTATAAAAATTATAATGATTGAAACTTTTTTCATAATAAATATTTCGTGTAATGTACATACAATTTTTTAATAATAATTTTAGATATATGCTTTTTTATTGCTTTAGATATTAAAAAAGTATTTGTAATACTTATATTTATTTTTATATTAAAAATAAATAAATTTTACAGATATTCCTTATATATTTTACTGAACATTAAAAATAAGAATTTGTTAATAATTAACATTGTCACTAGTTAGAATATAAACCAGATATTAAATACGCTGAAATTTATAATTTAATTTATGCTGAAAATAAAATAAATTAACCTAAATAATAAGTTAATAAGGTTAAAAGGTTAATAATTATAAAATCATACAAAATATGTCAGAGCAAAATAAAAAGCGAAATTCATTAAATCATTACATGAAAATTACTCGAAATAAAGTATAGTCAATTTTTGTAACTTAAGTTATTTCGCAATTTTTATTTTAAAATACTGTATATTGATATTAAAAACATAAACAATTTAATGTTTTTAATATCAATATACCGTATCTTAGAATAAAAATTGCTGAATAACTTAAAGTATTTTATGATTATATAGAGACAATAAAGAGAATGTTAGAAGTAAGATGTCTTATAGTTTCGAATGATCAGCCCAGTCTCAGATTGATGAGGTAGTCTATTTCCGACACAGGAGGGAAAAAAATGATGTCAAGTCTGCCATGACCAGTACTGATGAGATTTAAGGACGACCAGAAGCATTTAGAAAAGTCAAAATCAGGTGATCCTACGACAAAATTTATGATTACGAGCTCTTATATTGAAACAAAATTAATTTTTTAAACATTTGATAAAAAGCATGTAACCTCACTTACAGTATGTAAATTAGGCTCTTGTTTAATAAACAATGACCTTTTAAAGATTTCTTTTAAAGAAAAAAGTAATTTTGAAAAATTTACAGAAAACAATAATATATAATGATCTATATAAAGTTTTTCTAATGCGATTTATCGCAATACAGTACTTGCAATTTATAGTAACAACTTTATAGATTTTTTAAAATTAATATTAAGAATAATAAAATTAAAAATATAATTAGGCAACAATACTTTCTGAAATATTTAAATTTAAAAAAGCGAACCTATTCTTTCATCAAATGAAAACTAATTAAAATAATCTTTAAAATAAAATAAAAAAGT